TTCCAGGCTTATTGGATCTGGACCAATGGCCACATCAAGAAGGGATGTGCTGAACTCAAGTCCCAGGGACAGAGTTGAGAGTTCATTCATTGCCTGTCAGTCCCCTAATATGTGCACTAGATGGATCTGATGATGGGTCAGGGGGTGCCAATGGACCCCTGCATTAGGTATCCCTCCTTTTACATGATCTGCATGAGGAAGCTGCACTATTGATTGTTCTGGTATGTCTGATAAATTCATGGGCCTGGTTTTTCTGATATGGTTTTGACATCCCCATGTGCCTATGTGTCCCTGATTTAATTTGACAAGTTCATAGTTGGTAATATTTTACTTGTATGAATAAGTAATTTATGAGTTTGTGCCTCATGGTCTGTGCGGACAGATGGTTGTTATTTAGTTGCACAAGCAGGATTCTGCTTCGGCATTTGCACTCAAAATTGCTCAAAGTGCTGTTTTATAAAATAGTCACCCGGGACAAGACACAGACTGAAAACTACTGTTTATACAACATGGAGTCACTCAGAGCAGGACACAGCCTTATCTCCACATGGAATTACCATGTGATCCAGCACTTTCCAATATATATAAAAAAGGACAAGCAAGATCTCAAAGAGGTATCTGAACATTCATGTTCATAACATGTTCTTTATGATAGCCAGCAGTTTGAACAACCTAACTGTCCATTGATGGATGAATGGCTAAACAAAATGTGGTAGATTCATACAATCAGATATTATCCATTCTTTTTAAAGGAAAGCCAGTCATGGGAGACTGAGGAAGTAAAGGACTTATTCTGAGCTAACCTGGGATACATAGGAAAACCCTGCAAATTCTGATCCTATCATATGGCTAATTGAAAGAAGCCAGTCACAAATACTGGAGAATGCAGTAATTAATGTTAAATGCAAGGAGACTTTGTGTTTTTTTCTCATCATGAAACTAGTTCCTTAAAATAATTTGAATATGGTGGAAGGAAATAACAGGCTCTTGTACTTTGTGTGTGCCGTGGCACATGTGTTGACAAATATATACACACACGGTAAATAAAATGATTTGAGATTGTTTTACTTTAATCTAATCTCAATTTAAGTAACCAAAAAAAAATCACTGATCTCCATCCTGCTCTTTTCTCTTTTTCTTTAATATTCTACTTAAATTTGTTATTTTTCTCTCCATATGTGATTAATCATTGTTATTTTCCTCTCCATATGTAATTTTTCTTCCCCTGGTTTGTCCTTTTTCTTGGTTTATCTCCCTGCATTTTCATCTTCCTTTTGTCCTACATCACCTCTCCTTTCTTTCTCCTCCTACTATCTTCATTGCCATATCATCTCCTCCCCTTCCCATTTCCCTTCTCCCCTTTCTTTTTTCCCTTCTTACCCTCTCTTCTTCTCTCATCTCTTAAATTTAGGAAGCCCATAACAGAACTTGTAAGAACATCAAAACAACTAGCGAACCATCGGCCACTGTTCCCAGTGGAAGAAGATGGGCTGCCCAGGTCTTGTGTTTCCTTCTTGGGGCCAGTGGTACAAATTCTGACCTATGCTTTGGAGGGGGTACCCTGGCATTACACACAATACTGACTATCCAAACATTTCATTGAAAGGGCATGTTCTCTGAATCTTCCTTGTGGTTTATACCTATTGTGCACATACTCCTTTGTTTTACTAAGACTTTCAATGTGTTCACAACTTCCTGATTATCTGGTTCCATGACCTTGATTCCATCAGTTTAGAAGACCAATCGTGAATTTTTAAGTAATATGTACACCCTTGTGGCCTACACAAAGACAGAAGTCTAGCAAGGCAACAGGGACTTGGGGCAAGATGGTGAATGCTTGCCATTATTTTATCAGTTCCCTGTGACTAGGAAGAATATGCCTTAGATTTCAAGGGCCTCATGCCTTAATCTAAGGATGTATTAATTAGCTTTAGAAAAGATGCTTCATTTAGCACAGTGGTCATTTATTGGAACTAATACATGGTTGAGTTGACTGTCATTTTCCAAGATCTGTCTTGGGTTTGTAATGTCTGCTGAATTAAGTGAGGCTATGATGGGAACAACCATCCACAAATCCTTTAGGTGTCTGATGGTGACTCGATTCTCTATCATTCAGAACATTTTTCAGATAGTGTCTAACGGTGGCCCTGCTTGTCCTGGGACTCGCTTCGTAGACCAAGTTGGCCTCAAATTCATAGAGGTCCACCTGCCTCTGCCACTTGATGGCCAGGGTTAAAGGCATGTGCCACCATGTCTAGCTATTCAAAGTATTTTAAGATATCGTTTTTCTGAAGGTTAGAGGAGAGTATCAATAAACATGTTTTATAAAAAAGGATCTCTTCATTGTCTGCAAACAAGGAGAGGAATATTAGCTCTTCCGAGGGAGGAGTGGGCCAGTTGTGCAGGAACGGGAGAGTAAAGATTTTTTTAAAGTTTGTTTTTATTGAATTGCTGTGTATTTCATTCAGAACATTTCAAGCAATCTAGACTGAAGATGTTTGTACTGGGGGCTGGAAAGATGGCTCATCAGTTAAGAGCACTGACTGTTCTTACAGAGAATCTGAGTTTGATTCCTAGCACCAGCATGGCGACTAACAACTATCTGTAACTCCAGTTCCAAGGACTCCAACGTCCTCTTCTGACCTCTGTGGGCACTGCACGACAGAGGTGTGTTGCATACATGCAGGCAATACATTCATACACACAAAATAAAAATAAATAAAATATTTTTAAAAAGGCTTTTGTAATGTATGAACCCATATTCACCATACCTATTCTTAACCAACTTCTTCCTCATCAGAGCCTTGACACTAGCAAGTTAGAGCCTGCTGGGACTGATGATTCAACCATCCCTGGACATCTGCTACTCTTATTTTCAGTTTTATTAAAGTATAATTTATAAATAAAATTGAATATATTTAGTGTGCATGTGATGGTTTGATACGTATATATTGTGAGATGATTATCATAAACAAATACCTTATAATTAAGTATTAGATCTGGCACTTGGCTGGTCACATTAAAAGGAAAAAAATATAAAGTCTTAGGCCTGGGGATGTGGAGAGCTTGCCTAACATGCAGCTAGAAACCAAGCACAAAACTCTAAACCATAACAGGAGGGAAACAATTGGGGTAGGAACACCAGGAGGAAGGATTATGGAGGCTAATCTAAGATGTGTCTGCCACAGTACCTCTCCACTTAAAGGCACCACATTGTACAACTTCCTAGATTTGTGCATTGTGACAATCACTTGCTAAATGATCAGAAAATATTTGCTGGTTGGAAGCACAAAGAAATCAGAAATTAGATAAAGTACAGAACTAATTGGTGTGGAGAGTATTCACATGAGAATCCAGTGTTTCGTCCATCTGGATCTCAGTTTTCTTTTCTGTGAGATGAGATGTGCAACATAACCAGTTAGTTGAGATCCAAGGACTTCTTCCTTTTCAAATTCTGAAATTCTAGGGTCTTTGCTACCACGCCACCTTTATCCATCTGTTACTTCTTCATGATATAGTAATAGTTGATGTTTACTGTGCTACACATTTCTCTAAAAGTTTTAGCTGTTTGAAATTCTCTCAGTAGCATTATGGGCTATAGGTCCCATTCTTGTCCTCATTATGGGAATGAAACAACTGAGATTTTAATAGTTCAATGGCAGAAGTCTGGCCTAAGGTGTGTATAGGAACCCCTATGTAGTAGTTTTTTTTTTTAAAGCAAAATGTGTGTGTGTGTGTGTGTGAGAGAGAGAGAGAGAGATACACAGAGATTTTTCTCTGAGGTTGGCTGGCCATATTTAGGACTTCTTTTTGTAGGTTCGATTTTTTGGTTTATGTTCCATGAATTTGGAGAAAGGAAAACTAGAGCGTGTGCAGTTCTTTCTTCACCCTGGCATGTCAACCAGAGGACAGAAGAAAGATAGTAGCGAAAGTAAAGCCCAGCCCAGCCAGCAAGCATCAGTGGAAAGGCGGATACTGCAAAGCTCTCATAGGGAGTTACAGGATTCAGTATGGAGACTTTCTCCCCTTTTCTGTCCCAGGCACGAACCGGCAAACACAGTCTCGCTTTTGTACTTGTTATTTTTTTATCTGTCTTGGCTGAACAATGTTCATTCCATGTTGAGAATTCCAAGGAGAACAGAAAGCAGATAGGGATCATGTTGGTAGAGAGACTAGGAAGGAGTTGGTTGAGAAAAGCAGGAAAGCAGAACATACCCAAGGGAGGCAGTTTCTTGTTCTTAAATAATCAACTTCCTGACAGAACAGACTGTCAAAGTGTAACTGGAATACCAGAGCTCATGTTTCCTACCACTTCAAACACCAATGAGCATTAAGTCTTTAAGCGGTACTTTATTCAGACAGCCAGTAATCTGGGAACACAGAGGACTAGCATCCCAAACCCTACCTGTCCTGTCCCATTCCCAGCTAGCATACTTCATAGGGGCACTGAACAAAGACATCATTCCAAAATCATCCCAGAGTTTAGTCTTTTCTCCTGGTCAGGTGGTCAGCCTTATCTCTGGGAATTCTGATATTTGTGCTCTTTTCCAAATTGTCTCCTGAAATTTTCTTCATCATTATTTTATGCCTGTGTATTACTTAACATTTTTGTTGCTGTGATAGAAACACTAACCAAAGCATTTATAAAAGAAAGAGTTTATTTGAGCTACGGTTCCATGGGAATTATAGTGCATCATGGCAGGGAGGCATGGTGGCTGGAGGTGGATGGAGCAGGAGCATCAGAAACTAAGCTCTCACATCATCATGCAGGCACAGGAAACAAGAGGGCGACTGGCAATCTGGCAAGGTTTAAGAACTCTCTAATCCTGCCCCCAATGACGTGCTTCAAGGGGGTTCACATACTCCAAAGGCCACTAAGTTTCTAACTCCTGAGATGCTTTCTAGCTTATATCTAGGTTAAAGTTTCACACAGAACAAACTATTGTGCACATGCTTTTTACAGTCTGAAATAGAAATATGCCCTGCTAACATAGAGTGTAGTACTCACTTCACAGCACGTATACTAAAACTGGAATAACAGAGAGAGTGTAAGCATGGCCCCTATACACAGACGACACAAAAATTCATGAAGCACTCTCATTTTTAATGAAGTTTAATATTGTGTGTGCTAATTTATACATTTCAAAATAAAACAGCAAATATATAATAATAATAATAGTGATATCTGTCCCTCCTCTCTCTAGGCCCAAAGTGGGCTGTTCTGCTCCTGACCTTTCACTCTATAAAATCATTCTCTGGGCTGGCAAGGTGGCTAAGCCAGAAGAGGACTTTGCACACATGCGCACATGCACACCCCACACAAAATAAGCAAATGAAAAAAGTAAGGCTCTTTTCTTATTTCTCCAGGGGGCATAATTCTACATCAAAGAGCAAGGAGCACTATGACTTTCTCTTTCTTTCCAGGGAAGTGCATGGGGAGATGAACTGCCATATCAGACACAGTGACCTCTCCATCATTCTGAATTGAAATTATACTGAAAGTCAAAATCTTGGCAAATTGCCTAGTCTCCTATCCTTGAAGATTACATTTTAGCATTTAGGGATGGAATCAACAAATGAATGGTGAGAAATTTTTTATTGTATGTCCTTAAAGATCACCATGGAAAGGACAATGTCCTTTGCTCCAGAACAAGGCATTTTGCCCCACTCTTCTCACAAGGAAGAGGATGTGTGGGCTGAAGATGTGTTCAGGCAACACCCTGGAGTAGAGGAGGAGATGGGGTGGACTGTGCGGTTCTAGGACACCATTTCCATTCAGTTAGCCTTAGGAACTGGGAAAATTAACCCTGGACACAAGGTAACTTGCTGTAGTGGTTTTAGAATGCTGCTTGCTTATGCTTTCCACATGAAAGTGACTTGTAGAGGTTATTTTTAATGTTTTCATTATTTACTTCTGAGACAGGATCTCAGGTGTCTCAGGGTGGCCTTGAACTCTCTCTGTACCTAAGTATGACCTTGAACTCTTGTTCCTTCTGCCTCTAACTTCTGAGTAATGGTATTACCAGAGTGTAACACACTCCTGAGATGGTACTGAGGATAAAACCAAAGCTTCACATACACTAAGCAAGTACTCTACGAACTAACTCCCAATTAAATTTACTGGGAAAATCAAAGTATGGTGGAAAATTCCTACACTGGAATGAATCAGTAGAATGTTTAAATGATGGCGAATTCAGAAATTCTACCCTAGTGTGACAGTTAAGTAACATTGTGGTTGCAAATACAGGCTTTCAAGCTAGACTGTCTAGGTTCAAATCTTTCATACTTCTGTTTGTACATATAAGAGAATGGATTTAATTAGCAAGCTGACAGGATAGCCAAAGCAAAATTAAAACTGAAAACTAGTATTTTTAGGATCATAGTTCCAGATCTCAAGAGTTATAATAGGCAATAATTCAACAATGCTGTATAAGAAAAAGCAAACATCTGTCGATTAGTGAAGTTCTTAAAATAGATCTGTACAGAGTAGCTGTATATTGACAAAGTCACTAAGCCAACTCAGTGGAAAATGATGGCATTTTCAACTAATGAGGCTGGAACAACTGGAATTCCATATAAAAATAAACTTCACATTTTTCAAACCATACAAAAAAACTGCATAAACAAACAATTTAAATGTAAAATATATATTCTTAGAACTTCTCGAGGAAAATGTAGAATAACATTTTGACTTTCAGCCAGGTGAAATGTGCCTACAGAATAAGAAGAGCAAATCAATTTTAAAGTTTACTAAGTAAGGGCTCATCAGATTAAGTCCAAGTATTCAAAAGACAAAGGTGCTTGGGATGTGGTAAGCAGTGTGCACGAACGCCATACCACCACCATTTTCTCTTTGTGTGTGTCCCTCTGTGTCTTAGTCTCTACATCTCTGTCTCTGTTTCTCTCTTTCTCTGTATCTCTCTCTCTAAGAGGGAAAAACTTTAAAAAATTCAAATGTAGGGGCTGAAGAGACGGCACAGCTGTTAAGAGCACTCACTGTTCTTTTGGAAAACCAGAATTCAGTTCCCAGTACCCACAGAGAGGCTCACAGTCGCCTGCAATACCAGCTCCATGGCCCAATGCTCCCTTCTGGCTTCTGTAAACACCCACCCATAGGTGGCAGACACACACACACACACACACACACACACTGTTGACAGATGCTTGAAAAGAGAGAAGGGACATGAAGGCCTTCGGCAAAAGCAACATTTACTCATGTCAGCACCTACTCAGGGGATTCACATCCAAAGGCTGGGTCCCGAGCACCATGGGGCATTGCCTTTTACAGTTTTGGTTAGTCCCTTGGTGTCACCTACATAGTAACATAAATTCTGATTGGGTGTTCCATGCTACATAATTGTCACAGGGCTATACATGAATGTACACACAGACATGTATCATATCATTTTGCCTTTGTTCTGGGAAGGCTCTTACCACATCTCCCCTTGATGCTTGGGCCCTCTCAGGGTGAAAGAGCATCATCTTAGGGTTTTATACATCCATGACATCAACACATGTTCGGCTGGTTTTCTTTTAGGCAAGACATCGATGACCAGGGGAACCAGGCAGGGTAGAATCAGGCAAATCTCCAAAATCAAAAGTATAACACTTATGAGGGTTTTGGATCCCCAAAAGTTGAAAACCATGCCCCAAACAACTCCCTGAGGTTCCAGGCTTTCCAGGTCTAGACTGGAACATGAGTGTGATTTTTTTCTATGACATTTCTCTCATCATTTATTTGTAAACAGCAGTTGCTCAGGTTAAATTTTCCAAGAAATCTTCCCTTCAGCAAGTAAGCAGTCTAAGGCCAAGCAGTTTTAATAGTATTGGACATTTTGGTTTGTTGTTTGGCTAGTACATTAAGGGCGTTTTGCATTTTTATTACTTATAGATTCAACAACAGCCTGTAACCCGATGATGCAGCTAAACATATAGATAGGAGTGCAGTATCCGTAGGATTCATCCTTTGTTCAGGTGGTAGGACCACAATAATGGACTATATACTCAGAGGGCCATTTGTCATTTTTTCAGATGCTATTTTGTAAGGCATGACACTTGCTTTGGGTTTTCCAGTCTTCATACACTTGAACTCCCATATGTTTCCCTCTGACAATCAGGATCAAGAAGAATGATTGAGGGACAGACCCCAACACACAGCAACAGATATAGACGGGGTGAGAGTTCATTACAGTAAGACGACTGACATAGAAAACAGTTTTCTTATCCCATCGGGCAGTTGATTCCTCAAGCCTTCCCACCATGCATATATTAGTCAGACCCTTGAGTGACTAAAGCAGGACTGAAGTCCTCCAAGGTCTCTGGGGTCACTGTTTTCTTCCTCTTGTTGGTGTGGTCAGCTTACATGATGTTGATGGATCAGAAGAACACTCCCAATCATGAGAAGCTGGTTTCACTCTGCTGTGGTGAATCCAGGGGACCACCTTGTTTACTTTCACTGCAGTAGGGGTAGATAAAACGATAGTGAAGGGATCCCCTCCAAAGAGGTTTAGTGATTGAACAGTACAATCTTTTACCCATTACAGTATCTCCTGTTTTAAAAGGATGACTGTCTGTGTTCAAGTTCACAGATAGCTCTTCCCTAACCCAATGGTGTAGAATGGTCAGGGTCAAGCAAGGAGCTTGCCTTTGCTGTCTCAGAGTAATGATATTCAGTTCTTTTAGATATCCTTATATAACCTTGATAAGGGGAAGAGAGAGCCCATAAGAATCTCATAAGGGACAATTCTGTCTCTCTAGTAGGACTAGGTCTAATCCTTAACAAAGCAATTGGCCAAAGCTGATCCCAGTGGGTTTCCTGGCATAGTTCGCTTAGCATAACATTTCCTGATATTTAACTATACAGGTCTTAGCTAGTATTGTCCCTTATACTTGATTAGTGTCAGTATTGAGCAGTGTGGAACTCACACTGTTAATCTTTGTCCCATAGTTAGTTAGCCTCTGACATTAAGAGGGCCATGGCCACAAGTGACCATAGGTAGAGTGGCCAGCTTTGGGTGATGGAATCAAGTTGCTTGGAGAGACATGCCACTAGATGATGCAATGACCCTAGCATTTGAGTCAGGGCCCCCACTGCAATGCCAGTATGCTCATGTACATACAAGAAGAAAGGCTTTGACATGTCTTATAATCCCAAGCTGGGCATGTTGGTGACAGCTTGCTTGAGCTCTTCACAGGCCTTTTGCTGGATTTGCTCCCATAACAGGGATTCTTACTCTCCCCATTTTGTGGTCTCATAAAGGGGTTTTCCAAGATAGAGAAGTTAGATATTCTGATTCTACAGAAACCTGTGGCCCGGAGGAACTCCCTAAACCGGCATCAGGTTGTTGGAACTGAAAATGAGCAGATGGCCTGTTTTCTATCTCAGCCGAGTTGACACTGCCCTTGGGATACATGAAAACGGGGAAAGTTGACTTTTTCTTGGAAGATTTGGGCCTTTTCCCTTAAAACCTTGTAACCAGTCTCCCATAGGAGGGTGAGGAGCAGTTGTGTTCCTTCCGTGCAATACTCCTGTGTTCACCCAGCCAGCAGCAGACTATCTGTGTACTGGAGCAGCATATATTCATGTTGGTCCACTGGAAAGGCTTTTAAATCAGAGACTAAAGCAGTACTTTAAACAGCTGGAAAATTTTTAATTCTTATGCAGTCTAGTCCAGGCCAAAGGGCCTTTGTCTCCATTCTTAGGATTTTCCCTTTGGAAGGTGAAAATGGGTTGACCCTGAGGGGCAGAATGATAGAGAAGAAGGCATCTCTGAGGTCCAGATATGTAAAGAAGGCATCTTGGTGGGGTGAGGGGATGAGATCTAAAAGAGAGTAGGTGTTAGGGACACTGGATATAGGCTAGAAGTGGCCTGATTTACAGCTTGCAGGTCCTGAACTGGCTGATAGCTATCTCTTCACAGTGTCTGGACTAGCAAGAGTATGTTCCAAGACAACAGGCAGGGCTGGAGATTTCATACTTTAGAATTCTCTCCAGATGCTTCTGAATCCTAATTTGTGCCTTGCAATGGATAAAATATTGTTTCTGGTGGGTGGGTCCAGATTCTTGTTTCAGTTCTGTTATTACTGGGGGTATGTTCTGGGACAGT